GAAAATCCCTCTCATAAGTACCTCCCCGCTTATTTACCCAACTCGCCTAAGTACCTAAATTTTTCGTGCCACATTTACAATTTTACTTATAGTTTCCCCCTTTTAAGTTCTGTTTTAAAATTCCTTAAAATATTTAGGTACTTTGAAATTCAGTAGCAGCCCTACACACCTTCGGTAAGAAAATTCTAAAAAATCAACTGTAACTTTAAGCCACTTGAAACCGGAACATTATTGCACTGAAATTGAATGGACTATAAAACTGTATACTCCAAAAACACTTCTGAGAAAAAGTTTGCAAATACGATGCATTTGTTTTTTAATGTGTTCTACAGAGTCTTAAGCTTAGGTTTATATAGTATTTTTTTAGGGAATGAACTGCATTTTAATTGATTGAAAAATCTTATAAATTAATAAATAAACATAAGTGGCAACCAATTTGGTACAAAATAATATGTCCAACTTTGACTTTTTAAATAATATAATTCTTGTAAAAATTACATCCCATTGCACTTAATATTTGTTTAATAAAGTTTTTCTTTACTTGTTTATGTGTTTAAATAATGCTACGATTTTGATTTTAGCTACTATGTATATTTCATTAAACGTTGTTATTCAAGTATTTATGTACCTAAGTTAACAAAAAGATGTAACTACATCAGTAATTATATTCGCTTAAGTACCTGTATCAAGGTACTTAAGCGGGTTCTTTTAGGTACCCCACCCGCCTGACATTTTTCGTGAGGTACTTAAGCAGGTTTTATTGTATATATTTTTAAATAAGGCCTATCGATTGGTGTTATCAGTTTTTAGATATCTCATTTAGTTTCCGAGATATTGACTACAACTTTTTTGATAATTTAGTAAAAATTTAGTTGGTGATGCAGTCATATTAAACTAATCAATATCTTAAAAATGGGGTTCTCCGTTTTTGGATATCTCCTTTAGTTTCCGAGATATTAAGTAAAAAGTGTCGTTAATTTGGTATACATTTTGATCACATTTTGTCGTAGTTCTTACAAAGTGGCTGTCAAATTGTGGACAAATGACGCCTACGACAAAATTTTACTAAAGAAAATCTTTCATAAACTCAAAACTAATTAACAATAATCATTAAAAATTAAAAAAATTTAAGAATTTTGTAAACTAGTAACATTTTCAGAGACTTTGGAGAAAATCTATCTTCGCGTTTTTGAGAAATTGCATTCCAAACTCCAATCGCGATTTCCCACAACCTGCCGAAATCAACATAGGACAATCTTTTACCCAGGCGATGATATGGAGCTTACATACATATGAATGCTGAGAAAGCGTGTGAATGCTTCAATTTTCAATTGAATTGCCCAAAAATCGTTAATACGAGTATGTACATACAAATGCAAGTATACATATGTATGTACATATGTACAATTTGAATGGAGCTCGTAAAGTAAGTCGCCCAATTTGTGGAGTCGTTCACCCGCCTTTTATGTGGGTTAGAAGATAAGATAGGGGTATGTTCACAACGAAACACAAATAGACACGCATTGTTCGTTCTATGAATGGGACATGTATGTATGTATAAGTGACCTGAAATACGAGATTTTAGGTAAAGGTGCACATATACATACATTAATATGCACTATGTGTGTAAACGAAAACTTTATATTCCTATATTCATTCATAAATACATACATATGCCTTTGTGACAATCAGATTCAGAATTAATACGATGAGTATAGCTGATAACGTTCAAACTGAACCGGTACGTTACCATGGCTATCATGCAAATAAAAAAATTAAAAAAGGCGGTTATTCTGCCGAATTTTTTATAATGAAATTAAAGTGTGGAAATTTAAACTGAAGTTAAGGATTTAGTATTATTTTTTCCGATTATATTATTAAACTACATTCTACATTTGGCCGTTTTCACCATCTCTAGTTAACACTAATCCGCAGTTAAAAATCGTTACCGACTTTAATCACTCCATGCATTTAACATTGTGTCGGCAACGTTGGTAACAATGTTTAACTGGGGATTAATATTAACCGGAGATGGTGCAAACGGTCCAATTCAATTTTTATTAAATTTGCACACGTTCACCCTTTTTTACGAATACACTCACACCTTGCATATTTCCTATGCAATTTTTCCTTCAACACGTTAGGTAATTTCTCGTTCTATTTCAGCAGCTGACCGGGCATATGTAACTTTGGGAAGTGAGTTTTTGTGTGCAGAAAATTGTTTGCTTAATAAAATATAGAAAAAAAAGAACAAACAAATCTTATAAGTGTGATCAAAGTGAAAGCAATGTTTTGAACGTGTACACGCGAACAAATTTTGTTGCTCAATTTGGTTGTACAGTGAAACCCGCTTAAGTACCCCCCGCTTAAGTACCTAATCCGGTTAAGTAACCAACATTTTTGGGCAATGTGAATTTTTGAATGTAATCTGAAGAAAATCCCTCTCTTAGGTACCTCCCCGCTTATTTACCCAACCCGCCTAAGTACCTACATTTTTCGCGCCACATTTACAATTTTACTTATAATTTTCCCCTTTTAATTGCTCTTTTAAAATTCCTTAAAATATTTACATATTTTGAAATTCAGTGGCAGCGTCACACACCTTCGGCAAAAAATTATAAAAAATCAATGGTAATTTTTAGCTACTTGAAACTTGCACATTATTACACTAAAATTGAACGGGCTAAAGAAATTTAAAATTATGGTGAATTTTTTTCTTTAAGGGCCGGTTACTCAATGTCTGTTTAATACTAATCTGCGGTTAAACATCGTTATCGACGTCTTCGACTCCATGCATACAACAGGGAGTCAGTAACGTCGATAACGATGTTTAACCTGTAGTTAATGTTAACCAGACATTGAGTAACCGGCCCTAAGTGTTCCATAAAATCTTAAGCTTAAGTTTATATAGTATTTGTTAGGGAATAAACTGTATTTCAATTGAAAAATCTTAAATAATGCTACGATCTTGGTTTTAAACTACGTATACTTTATTAAATGTTCATGTCTTATTCAAGGATTTACATATTTATGTAAGTTAACAAAAAGATGGAACTACATCAGTAATTATGTTCGCTTAAGTACCCGCATCGAGGTAATTAAGCGGGTTCTTTTAAGTACCCAACCCGCCTAAGTACCTAAAAAAGCTGAAAATCGTGAGGTTCTGTATACTCAAAACATTTTTGCCCACCAAAGGCTTCATCAAACCAACCAAGCTACCAAAGGAGAGTGAAGCTACCAACCAAAACGGCAGCGCTGGTACCCTTTATAGCTGAAATCGACTCTTTCATTTGACAAGTGCTTCATACAACGCCTGTATGTTATTTAAAAAGTATGCACAGATTTGTTAACATTACTTCGGTATACGTACAAAAATGAAATCGAAAAAGTATTCTCTATTTCTTGATAAATAAGTAATTACTCTACATAAGTATTTGTGTCTCTGTATATTTGCATATTTGCATGTTTCTTCGTTTGCACCGGTCGATATCTAAAAACTCGATTAAAATAGGAAATGAAAAAATACAGCTCGAAGGAATTCGCTCAACTATCCCAAATAAACTCATATAAGTAAAACACGTTCTTTTCCCACAGCAGAAACAAGATTATTTCGCCTAGCAAACGTGTCTGCTCCTATTGTCGATTACTCGTAGACAAATGTTCTACATCAGGTAGCCGACAGTAGGATAACAAAGGCGAAAAATGTGCAAGGATAATGTGAGTTGTATTCAAATTAACCAGGCCATTGTCATGTTTCTATATATATCACCATTGTTATTGTTTTCACATAATACATATGTACATATATGTATGCATTAGGACGGGTCACCAAAAAAAAAAAAATGCCATGTCGGATTAATTCGTGGGCTGAACAGCATCTACAATACCTCTAAAAAGTATAGTTACAATCAGGGCCGGATTTATTTTAAATAACGTCCTGTGCCTTGTGAAAATACTTGAAATATTTGGAAAAAAAGTGTATTCTACGGCGCGCCTGACAAAGCAGAAAACGTCTGTGCAATCGCCAATTATTTCGATCCCATGTTCGGTCCGACATATTTTTTTGGCGAAAAAAGATTTACTGATACTTAAAAAAATCTAAATTGCTGCATTGGGGGGAAAACCTTAAAAATATTACTGAAACCCAATAAAACTTAAAAATTTTAGACTAAATATTTTTTCCACAAAATTAATCAAACTTTCAATTAGCTTCAGATTTTTTAATGGGTTTTAATGAATTCTATACGTGAAATGAGCTAACACCTATTCGAGGACTTAAGGATCTGTCAAACTTTGGAGTTTTCATGTACTTCTTCCAATCAGAGACTTCATCTGAACGTTGTTTAAAGCTAAAGAAACGGGCTAAATATTTATATATATAAGATGATCATGATTAGGGTAGCCAGGTATTATAGTAACATAATCAGTACAGTTGGGATCAAAAATCAGTGAAAAGCAATAAAAATCAGCTAATTTTTAAGCTTTTTTCGCTTATTAACAAAATAACAACCAAATAACAGCGCATTAATTTAACAAAAAATAAATAATAGACGTTTAAATACATAAATTATTATCAATATAACAGTTCCTTGGTTTAAAACAAATCAAAGATATTACGTATGCATGTACAGTTTTGTTCACAAAAATAGTAGTAAAATATATTGACAAGTTTCTTTCCTTATTTTTTATAAAAATATAGTTAATCCTATAACAAAAACCGTGTAAGTTGAAGTCTCAAACTTTTCATAAAATTAACAAAAACTAAAAAAAAATGCTCCACAAAATTAACTTTTATAAACTTTTATAAAATATTGGAGTTCGCAGTTTTGTAGCACATTCAGTTTCAGTAGAAGGCGAGCTAGAGTCAGAATTTGTTTGCATATTTTAAGCTACAAATTTAATAAATATTTTGATGGTGTGCTTATCAAATACAACATGCACATTAAAATTCTAACTGAAGTACGAATAAAATTGAATAGTGTTAAATATGTTTGTTTGAGTAAATTTACTGGTGGTCGAATATCAAAAATCAAAGAAAAGCTATATATCGTCACCTGAAATTCATAAAAGGCGTAACAAATATCATCGTTGAAACGCAAAAAGTCATAACTAATAAAAAAATCAAAATTCACTTTCTGATTTATATGATGGATTTCATCGAATTACAGCTGTCCACATCATATTATAAAAAAAGGAACAGTCCAGCGCCTTCGTCTTGGTCTGCAGGCTGTATCGGAGATACAGCCGCTATATTTAAACGTAGAATACGTGGTATGGTTAAGAGCATATCCAAGTCAAAAACGAAATCACACACTAAGAA